GGTTGGGTCCTGATAGGCAGTCACCAAGTTCTCATTGAATTCTGCCATATTCGGATCATGTCGGTCCTCCCTGTCTCTCGTACTCAAAACCTGAGAGATTTTAAATCCGAGCCAAGATCACTATCGAGGATTCATGATACGATTGCGTAACTTACGAATGGCACATGGTGATACTTACCTCAGCAGGGTAAGCGATGAAATTCGGCAAGAAACGTTTCCGGCAGTACTCGTTGAAGAGAAATATGAGGATAGGGAGAGGGATAACCAAAGTGGATGCTAATGGGAGTTTCTTCAGTGTGAAGATTCCAAATGCAATGGCTTGCATAAGTAAGAGAGAATGTAATTGAATTGTGAACAACGAGCCAAAACTTCCCTGCCGTCTCATACTTTGGTGCATATACATTAATGAACTGCAAAATAAATTTGTCAAAGAATAACGCAAGTTGTCCAAAATTGGTACCAGGAACTCAAACCTACGAGCTTGTGGAGGGCTTCATATATTATAATTTTCAATCATCAACTCAAACTTCATACTTAATCATACAAAGATGCGATAATACATCTATGATATGGATATGTACGAATATAACGCAAGTACGTTTGTTATCTCCTTAATAATCTTACAAAGATACAGTCGTCTGCAATCTACTAATAAAAGTATCCTACAGTGGTAGGACCAAAGATCAACACTACGGTATTTTCTTTAGATCTATGTCAATTTATCCCGATGTAAGAAAGTCGCTTGAAATGACTTGCTTGAAGATGACAATTAGAGATCGTAGGTAAAAAATTGGAGCACGGATAGCTAACTAACCTGGTTGCGATAGATGGTATAAGCAAGACAGAGGTACACCAAGAGGAATGGCAGAAGCAATGCCGAGCCTGGCAGGAATATTCTTGGGATCAAGGAATATAGAAACCTGATATAAAACTGGTCCAGAATATACAGTTGCAAGAAATATGTTCCATATTGTGAACCAGAGCACTTTGTTACATGCACTCTTCTCAATTTCACAGTGGCATGCGTATCCTTGAATGGAGGAAAGGAACTCCATTATTGGAGGCACAATCTTGAGAAACAACCGAAGAATAAGGCTGGGAAGGTACCCTGTAACTACCTCATTGACAAATGTTCTGCAAACATAACACAGTGATCAAACTTTGTGTTACTAAGAAAATGAAAAATATGGATAAATAACATGAAAATGCTTAGGTATCATACATTTTCCACACGAACGATAATAGGATGAAATATTTATATGAAAAGCAACAAATTTATTATAATTGGCAGTTACTCTGCAATCTTCTAATTAAAAATTCCAATGATCTAGCTCTGGTTGATATTATAAACTGAAGCAACAGAAATAACACATCAAGATATGCTCAACTTCACTATTATTTATTTCTCTGAGATTTTTAATCTCCTTTATGAGAAAAGGAGAGAGATAGTTTGGTAGAATATTGGAAGAGTTTTCCATGAATTTTAAAGGCCAAAGCTTTGGCAGCAACACAAACATACATCAGTCAAAGAAGATAAACAACAGGAATGATGCTGAAATGAAATAAGCTGGAGCTTTTAGTCTACACTTACACGGTTAGAATGCTTTTCAAGAACGGAAACCAAATTTCCAACTGATTTAGGTTAGTAAGACCTTGCACAACCAGAACAGGGATAAGAAATAGAATTGTCAGGAGTACACATGCAACAACAACAACAATTTTAGAAAGCCATATTTTCATGAATGTTGATGAGAAAAAGGGCCAGTAGACATCATGTGGTTCAGGAGCTAGCTCTGTGACCCACTCTGTTGGGTTAGTCGATTGTTGCATGTGGAAGGCAACTGCTGCACCATACCTAGACTTGAAAGAGAAAAGCTGCTCGAACTTCCTTTTACATTGCACAAGAAATTATCAATAGGATGCTCCATTCACCACAAAATAATTTCAAACCAACTTAATTGCAAAGGAAAGCTTTAATTTAGAAGGCTAGACAAAAAGTTGGAAAATATAACGAACAGAAAAAAAGCAGGTATGAACACATACTTTTGCTGCCAATGAAACTTCAGATCGCTCTAATCTCATATTCTCCTCTATGTCTTCTAATTTCTTTCCATAATGATCCACCAGATCAACCTTCTTCCGAAACAACCCAACATGTCTATACTTCTGCTGACTGGATTCTGATTGCAAGTGTGTAAGCCTTTTACACATATTTTTTGCATCCTTCTGGAAGAAAAAGTAATGAAATAACAGTTAGAAATATGAAACTGAGCACCAGACCCATTTATAACAGAAGAAAAAGAAGACAGGATTCACTTTAGTACCACTAGCATACACTTAACCATACATAGAAACAAATCCACGGGCTTAAGATGAAAATATTGCTCATTTATGTTAATTGATCACACATAAAAAAAGAAATAAAAGAAGAATTAAAGAGAAAATATAAAAATGGGTAAATCAGAACTAGAAGCTTAAAGAAATGAAAACATTAAAATTAATTGCTTACAATGAGACTTCGGAGTTTACTTGATCGATGAACAACCATATGTGAAAGGTATGTAGAAGGATGGTATTCCAGGAAAAACCTTTCAACACTCTCTCACACTATTCCCAGCAGAAACAGGGATACTGCGCACCTATATTGTGAACTGATGAGGCTGAGGTTTAATTGAGTGAAAAAAAAATCAATCCTTTTTGCAGTTATATATTTAAATTCCTGCAGAAAAATCACCACTTGGTACCCAGTTCAATATACTCGCTTAAATAACTCCACATCATTTACAAGTAAATGAAAACAACGATCGATAACACCTGCTAAGTTCTTCGCATCCCTGTGTCATTGAGATAGATAATACACTGTTCAAACAAACATAAGACTTGAAATTTCATATAAATGACTAAGGACTTTCATGCAGTTGAATTCTGTTAATCGAGTTTCTTTGGTGCGTAGAACTAGAGGTGCATAATAGAGCAGATAGCAAATGAATGCAGTAACAAGATACACAGCACTAAAGTGAGCCCATAACCTGCCAAAAAAGATAAAACTATTAAGTTCCGTTTACACTTGACTAGGCCCTAATCATATGATAAAGCTAAAACCTCTCAGTTCTAACAGATGATCACCAGCTCTTAAAGACTTAAGAACATAAAACATGATCTTTCTACGACATTACTTATCTCTCTTAGGTTCCCTCAAAGGTACCACAAAACACTTTTTCTTGAGGAAGCTTAAAAGTTAATTTTTGAAGGTAGTCATCTATTTCACAACATTCAATCAATCAAGTGAAAAGCAATTTTAAACTAGAACTTACCTTTTTGAGCCTCTGCTTAGATTTGAAATGGTAAACACATCCAAAGAATTATTTGACAAATCAGCAAATCAATATCCTGAAGCTGATCCCCAGAGCAATTCAGTGGGAGAAGAACAAATATACCAATAACCCCAGCAAACAAAAATACTTTCAAACTGCGGTATCAAGAGAAAATAAACAAACACAAGGTTGAGTCAAAAAGGCACTCGATAAAACCTTACAAAAATGCTAATATAAAGAGTCTGACAACCCATATGTATAGTGATTCAAGTCATTAATTGCTTTACAGATCTTAGCTTTACTAAGCTCAGCCCAAAAGTCTAAAAGCCCAAAAATCAGCAAAGCGAGTTTCGTTTCGCCGTCGCCGAGGTTTCTTGTTGCAAAAGACAGACGGCTCGGACCGAAAGTAAAAGCCGGAAGGTGAACTACTGAAGGAAAAATCTAATAGGGAAGCCTCTGATTTGAGGTGAGAATTTCACCATTTTTAGTTTTCTTTGTCATTTTTTACCTCACTTTTGTTTTGCTTGTTCCCCTTGAGATTCCCCACCAGATTCAAGACATTTCTGCTAATTTTCTTTAGTTACTGAATTTTGTTTGCGATTTAGTTCATTTTGTGATTATTTTTAACCCAAAATCTTTGTCGTCAAAGTGGTGCGACCGCCATAGATTTGTCGTCGGCGGTGTTGTACCCGTTTATTCATGTTTACTTGAAATTCCGGCGGTGGTAATTTCTTCATTGAACTATATCTTATGGTCGGTCGAGTTTTCTTATCACAGACCGTACACAGTTTGTTTGGAATTCTGAAGGAAAACCGGGGGGAGGGGTAATGAGTAGACAAGAAAAATAAGAATAGGAAACAAAGGATGAGTTATTCAGGAACAAAAATCGATAAGTCTCTTAGATCATCGATGTAGTTTCGAGTGGTAGAAAACGGAGCATGAAGTAAAATTTTCACCAGTCTCCTCTCTATGTTCGAGCCAAGAGGGATTAACAACTGAAGTTTCAACGTGATTTCGATGAGCTTCTACTTCATCTTACCGCCAACCCTTGGCTCTTTATTTCAACGTGATTAACAAGGAGTACCAAGAAGCACTTAATCTCCTTTCTGGCCTGATTAAGGAGGTGAGAAGGTTGGATGACAAGCTACTTCTTGTGGACATAGATTTGTTGGAGAGTAAGCTTCACTTCTCTCTTCGAAACCTGCCAAAAGCCAAGGCATCTCTAACAGCGGCAAGAACAGCGGCAAATGCAATTTATGTCCCACCAGCTCAACAGGGTAATATAGATTTGCAGAGTGGAATCCTCCATGCAGAGAAGGACTACAAAACTGCTTATAGCTATTTTTTTCGAAGCATTTGAAGCTTTCAATGCTCTTGAAGACCCTCGAGCTGTATTTAGCCTCAAGTATATGCTGTTATGCAAAATAATGGTGAGGAAATATGTAATTTACCCTATTTAAAATTATAAATTTAATCTTTGTTCATCTTTTAAATTGTCTAGTATTCTTCTATGGATGTTATATTAATTTCCGGGTATAAAAATATTTTATTGTTACATAAACTTATTTAATTTTACAGTATCATAGAAAAAAAGTTAATTGGTAAAAATATAAAACATTAAATTTAGTAATTTTTTTCGAATTAAGATCAAGTAAAAGATACAAATTTAAGATCAATTTGTCACAAGCAAATAAACAATAGATAGAGATGAGCAGCATGCAAGGAATCATCAAGTCCATCTGTTATTGATTCTAGCCATGAGTCCATGCTTCATGTGGAAGACGACGCTGTTCTTCGGCTCAGCAGGGTGTTCCTTCAGAATCTGAATGTCGTAGTTATATATCATCGTTGCCGCGGTCGCCTTCATCATCGTGAAAGCTAATTCCTTCCCTAGACAAATCCTCGGCCCTGCACTGAATGCCGTAAACTGGTAATGTGGCACGCGTTTGATCTCTCCATGCTCGGTGATCCATCTCTCCGGCTTGAATTCATGGAAATCGTCTCCCCAGACTGATCTCATCCTTCCCATGGCGTGTACTGCAATCACAACAGTCGTGCCTCGCTCGATTCTATGGCCGCTCGGGAGTGTGTCTGCTTCGACAGCTGTTCTCGACAGCAGTGGTCCTGGTGGGTACAGTCTCAACGTTTCACATAGTGCTGCATGTAGGTAAACTAATTTATTCAATTCTTGCGGGCTGCTTTCAGATATTTCATCTCTGATTTTAGCTTCAACGTAAGGATGCTTGGCGACACTATAGAAGAACCAGGTGAGAACCGAACTAGTTGTGTCTTGCGTGGCAAATATGAGACTGACAACGTTGTCCCTCATGCCTTTACGTGTAGTGGCTGATCCGAAGGTCCGGTGATAAAAGGCTTGGCAATTGAAGCCATCCTCGTCTCTCTTAGAGATGCAATCTGCAAAGACATGATCAATGGTTTCCCGAGCATGTTTAAGTTTCTTTTCTTTGCCGATTCCCAGCCACCTATGTAACTTCCACAGATTATGGGGCATTGAAAAACGAGTAAATGCCGCTTCACAGAAATCTTCGAAAGCCTGGGAGATCATGTCTTTTCGAGATTCGGTGCTCAGAGAGTTGGGATTGTAGCCGATGGACATAATCCAAGCTATGTCCAGGATGTGTTTTTGGAACAAATCTTGAAGGTCGACGACTAAAGCCTGTTCGGAAATATGTCGAAGGACAGGGACGAGGCCCGTCTGTATTCTGTCCCAAACAATCTCAGTCATGGCATCATGGAATTTGTGGTGACTAAGGAAACAACGAGCAAGTTTTCTTTCATGTTCCCACTCTTCCATATCAGCACTGAAAAGGGTCTCCCCCAAAACATCCATATGCTCCCTCCATTTAGACCCTTTGGGGTAATTGGCAAAGTTTGTGCTCATCACATGGCGCACATTCGCAGGGTCACTGGTGATCAGGATTTTGGCGCCCGTGAGCCATGAATATTGATGGAAGTGAATCGTACTCTCGCTTCGTTCGAGGATTTCAGCCATTCTATCGTGAAGAGATTCTTCCAGGTTCGAAAAAAATATCGAAAAAGAGGATTTAGAAGCAAAAAAGAGGATTGTTATAGTAATAGAAGCTAAGATTGAGATGAGAATACTGCAAGTAAAGGCATCCATATTATTCTACTGTTGTATTTCAAACATGATTTTGAGCAGTATTTATACTCGGGTTTCAATGGTAAAGCTGTAAATAGACTGATAGGACATTCAATAAGGTAGCTTAACTTTTTCACGCAGTTTTAATTGAAGGTATCGGCTATTAAATAATGCTACGACGGCACGTTGCCTAACTTTTCTTATCCCAATATCCAACCTTCCCCTACACCTCCTCCCTCACCTTCACCTTAGCAGCTATTAAAATTCATTTTGTCCAAGTTTAATTCGAACTAATAGTAATATTTTCCCTTGCCATCACTCCCAAAGGTAGATTACAGATTCGAGACCAAGGGTCGAGTTTGAAAAATCAGCCTGCTTTGGCAATGTCCCATTATTGACCATGGCCCTTCTTTTAGGGCTTTCTGCATCATACTCGGATTCACAAACGTTCAATCACAGGCTTACAATGTATCCAATCCATAAAATAATAGAAGGAAACAGATAACTTACTGATGTAATAAGAGCACACTGTAGATCGTCTGTATTGCAGACAGATTCGAATGGAACGACCGAAGATTTAAGTGCTGCAATAAGCTAAACTTCAATTAGAATGCCTCATAACACGTCAGTCTGCGGATTCACACAGAAAACAACCAAAACAATTCTTTGTTATCTTTCAACTGAAGAATGGAGTAAAACATGTACCTATATAGTCAATAAAGCCTTGAGTGTTCTTGGAAAGCTATGAAAGTGTCATTGGCTATCCAGAGCATGAAGAAAGTCATATTGTTGATTCAAAACTCGAATCGAGCAGTGACTAAAATCAGTAATACCTTGAGTGTTCTTGGAAAGCCATAAAGGAGTCATTGGCTATTCAGAACACTGAAAGATTTTTCTCTTAAACAATTCATGGTGCTAAACTTGAATCAACCAGTGACTACAATCAATAAGGCCTTGGGTGTTCTTGGAAAGCTATGAGGGAGTCATTGGCTACCCAGAGCATGTCGAAAGATCGTTCTTTCAAGCAATTCAAGCCTCAAGGTGCAAAATTTGAATCAACTAGTGAATAATTAGCAACCTCAAAGATCATTCTAAAGCACTACTAGCAATATTAAAGCAATCTGAACAAACAAAGATGATTCATAGACAAAAATTGTTAGCTTTAGTGACTTATCACCAGCATTATTGTACAATTCTCGTCAATTTCCAACCTTTCCTCTCTTTAAACATTCTCTAAAAAATAAACCAGTACCCAAATAAGTATCATCCTTTGCCATCAAAATGGGCCAATTCACCACGAAAAAACACTTAAAATTTAAAACCCAAAAAAGCAGCCACCTCAATTGTTCTTCAAATCCTCCTCGGACTCCAATTGTTTTTCAGAATCTTCTACAGCTGCCTTTTCTTTTTCCAACTCCCTAAGGGCTTCTTCATGAGCTGCCTTCTCGGCTCTCAAAATCGGCTCATAGTAGCCTGGATGATCCTCCATGCATTTCTTCAAAGCAACTGTTACTTCCACGCATTTGGCGGCGATGTCGTCGGCGCCGTTCTTCTCGGCTTCATCCACGCAATTTTCCCAAGCCACGAAGCTCTCCTTGCAGCCGCCGGATTTCATGAACAAGCAAAACCCACACTCTCCTTCTTCTTCTTCTTCTTCTTCTTCTTCTTTCCCTCCTGAATTCGAGGAATCGCCGTCGGGTCGATCAGGCTCGGTGTCAACTGGCTTGTGCTCTTGGGTTGAGTGATCTGAAGGGAGTGCTGGGGTTTGAGGATCCGAGGATTCTGGGTTCGGAGAAGACATTGAAGAACTCGGTGAGCTGGAATCGGATCGAAATCGATGAGTTAAGAGCTTGTGTGAATCGCTGTTTGTTGTTGGAAGATAGCATTCGAGGCAGCTCCGCTTAAAACCTCCTAAAACCCTTCAGAAAGTTTTGTTCTTTTGACTTTTCTTATTTTATTTTAAATAATAGGCTTAATATGAGATTAAGTATCCAAACTATATCTTTTTTATCAAATAGGTGACTAAGCTATTTTTTGAATCATTTTAATATCGAATGTTACAAACGTTATCACTTTATGTGTAAGGACCGTCAAAAGTGTTAATTTCTCCTGTTAAGTGATAGTAGTCAAAATTTAGAAATTTTAAAAATTAAAATTATATATTTCTTGAAAAGAAAACACAATTTTTTTTAAATGACCCAACAACTTGGAAAACCATTTCAACCCCTAAACTCACGTCACATGCCGCCCTTTACCGTCGATGAAGCTCCACCTGACCTCACCTCCCCTGGCGACCAAAACCCTTTATGAAATCGTGATCGATCAAAGACCGTTCGATGAATCTATGTTTTATACCCTACAAACCCTAAGATTAAAATCACGATCTCACGCGATTTTGACAGCCAATCGACGACAACTACAGTGGCGTATGGCCAAGAGAATGACAGAGACTATATTGGCGGTAGTGGTCGTAGTCGGAAAGGATGATAGCGGTGAGGTAAGATTAGGATTTGAAGATTTTAGGGATTTTGGGCTATTTTATAATTAAAGAGAAATTAATTTTTTTAAAATATAATAATATTTTTAATATATTTAAAAAAAATCAAAATAACCAGATAGAGATTGTGACACATGTCACTGAACAGAGAAAATTAACGATATTGACTTCCCGAGTACCTCAAATGAAAACGTTTGTAACGTTAGACACTTGGATGAGTAAAAAATAATTTAGCTACATATTCGAGAAAAATGATATTGTCTAGACACTTATTTTGGTATTAAGCATAAAAAAAATATAAAAACAAGACGGACTATTCTACTTGAAATTGGGCTGGTCAACCCAAATTTGTCCGGGCCATATCGTAGATCATTATTTTTTGTTTAAATATGTAAGTGTCACCCCTTTCAAACTTTTAAACTTAGTCCATATACTTTAATTTTGTTATATTTAGTTATTCCTCTATTATATTTGATATACAGATCTTGATCTCTCATAACTTTTGTTTACTTAGAGGGTTTCTAGTGAGGATATACTGAAATAGAAGCTTCACCCACAACTGTATATAGCGTGGGGGTTCAAGTTTTTCTTTTTGATTGACACGTAGATTGCTCATAGTATCAAATGATTTGATATTGATGGTTTATTATAATTTGAACAAAAAGTCGTAATTGACGATAGTTGGTCGATGTCAATAAATTCTATCTCCATGAAAAGTAGAGAAAAGGAGAACAATGGTGAGATGGTTTCATTGAGACCACAATTGTCTCTCGATTGTTCAAGAGCTTTTATAGTGGGTTTTAGTGTATGTGTTAGCTAGTTGTAGGGTCATAATGACAACTCATAGGTTAGCAATCTATATAGAAATGATCAGTTGACGATAGATTTAGTTCTAGTATATCAGGTGAACATGTCATATGTCAGGTCAATTAGCCATAATTTCTTAAAGAATGTTAAATATTCGAGACTCTTCTTTTAAGAAGTTCTCTATATCTTTCAGAGTTTCGAAGTATCAGATATTTAAATATATTTTAAATTGCTCTGATAATTATGATTTATGAAGTACGAAAATGATATATACATCACATTTTTGGAACATAAATCTTTTTTTTTTTGTAGTTTTTAATGTTCAAATACGTGAAGGGTTATATTTCAGCATAGGGGAGAAGTTGATGTTAGAGGATTCGTTGTGAATCCATCAACAAACTCCAAAGTGAAAGCTGTTTTGATGACGACTCTGGTTCATGGGTACTATGAGAACATGAGGAACATTTATCGGGAGCACCCTACGATGAGTTGATGACCGGTGAAATAATCGGGTTCATCAGCCAAGTCACGAAGATCAGCAACAGAGTGACAAGCCATTGCACAACATGAAGGCATTGGCAGAAATGTATTCGCTGAGCTTCACGGATGTATTAGTCACAAGTGCTTGGTCGACATTAGGGTATGCAGCTCAGGGTCTTGGAGGTTTGATTATTGAGCATCGACTTTACTTTTGTAACTTTAAAATGAAGATTTGGCTCAAAACCCTAAGCATACGTTTCTTTAGGACGAGGTAAGTAATCTCCCCTTTACATCTCATGGGTCTAAAAGATCAACAAACTTTCGCTGTTCATGTTTGGGAAGTGCCTTTACCTTTGGACATTAGTTGGGTTCCCTGATATTTTTAAGACCGAACACCTAAGGCTTCCATGTTCTGTCTCTTTCCAGAGGTTAGCTCAACGTGTCGCGGTGTGACTGGTTGAAAATCCAACAAGGCCACACCCCTACCTAATCTTTTAACAACTCTCCAGCCATGGAAGCTGTATCAGCTGCTTCTAAATCAGCAGCGATGAAAGCCATTAACTTCCCTTCAACTCCCACCGTCCCGATTATAGCTTTTTCCACTACCTCGGCCTCACCATGGTCACAGGTCAAACTCAACATGCTCACCCGTCATGCTCCAAATCCAAACACCAGATTCGGTTCGCTCTGTCTCAGTCGTTGTTCCACAAAACCAAACATCGAAACTGACCAAAACTCAACTTTCGAACCCAATCCCAATCTAAACACTGAAAACCCATCAAAAGTTGTTTCGGATGAAGCAATTTCCTCTTCTTCTTCTTCAACGCCCTCTTCTTCTCTTTCTAGAGGTTTGGTGCTTGATTTGGATCCTGTTGGTTGTTGGGACTGCAAAGAAATCGGTTCACCGGTGGTGAAAAGATTCATCAGCGATGAGGAAGAAAGATGGTATATGTGGTACCATGGGGTTTCCACCCAAGGCTCAGATTCCATAGGATTAGCGGTTTCGAGCAACGGGGTTCACTGGGAGAGAGGGAAAGGTGGAGTGAAATCAAGTGCAGATGTGGGTCTGGTCATGAGTTGTGGCAATGATTGGTGGGCTTTTGATACACAGAGCATTAGGCCTGGTGAAGTAGTCATCATGTCTAGTGCTAAAGTGAGAGCCTCGAGCGCTGTCTACTGGCTTTACTACACAGGCTACAGCGCCGAGAAGGTGGATATTTCAGGGTTTAATTTGCAGAACCCTGAAACATTGAGTGTCGAAAGTGGAAACATCTTGAGGTCTTTACCAGGCTTGGCAATCAGTCAAGATGGAAGACATTGGGCTAGAATTGAAGGGGAACATCACAGCGGGGCATTGTTTGATGTAGGTTCCGAGGGAGACTGGGATTCATTGTTCATCTCATCACCACAAGTTGTTTTCCATGGAAACGGCGATCTAAGAATGTACTATCACTCATTCGATGTCGAAAATCGGGCCTTTTCCATTGGCATTGCAAGGTCTAGAGACGGGATGAAATGGATAAAGCTGGGGAAAATACTGGGTGGAGGCAAAAAGGGCTGCTTTGATGAACTTGGAGCAATGAATTCCTATGTGGTGAAGAACAAGAGAGATGGAAACTACGTAATGGCATACGAAGGCGTCGGCGCAGACGGAGGCCGTGCCATAGGGCTGGCGGTGTCGGCCGACGGATTGAAAGATTGGAGAAGGGTTGAAGATGAGGCAGTGCTGAAGGGGGCAATAATGGAGGATGGATGGGATAGTAAGGGGGTTGGATCACCATGTTTGGTGGAAATGGACGGTGATGTTGATGAATGGAGATTGTATTTCAGGGGAGTTGGCAATGGTGGGCGATGTGGGATTGGGATGGCCGTCTCTGATGGAAGTGATATTACTAGGTTTAGAAGATGGAAAGGATTTCAAGTATAAAGTTGAATTTCAATGCTGTAGTGTTCTTGTTGTCCATCTTTGTCCTAATTTTCATGTGATAATGTAGTAAGAATTTGTTTGATAATGTATTCAAACTTTATGTGTGTTATTAATTATAGAGTAGTATATGTTATAAAGATTTTAAATCATTTAATAATAAATATGCTTAAATATATCTATTTTTGCATATGTTGGTATTCGAACTTAGGACCTATAAGAACGATAAACATCCCTTTAGCCACTTAGATAATTTGGTTTAAGAAATACTTTTGTCCTTATAGGAAATTCAATTTATCATTTTTGTCTTTATGATTTTTCACATCAATTTAGTTCTCGAAGTTGTTTGATTGTATAATCTTAAAATCTAACCTAACTTAAAACTTTAATCTATAAACCTTAACTTAAAACTCTAAATCATAATAAATATTGATATAATTAAATAATTTTGAGTGCTAAATTAATACGAAAATACTATAAGGGCAAACATGATAAATTAAGTTTACTGTAGGAATAAAAATAGCCTTTAAGCCTTATATTTTCAGCTCATCGTTATTGATTATTCATAACCTATCATCAACTGTCATTTATGGTAAAATTGATATTAAAATATTCATATTTCATTCTTAAAATTGATATTTCACGAAATTCATCTATATTCGATAAAATATTATCTGAAGATTTGAAGTTTTAATACTAAAATATTTTTTTGATATTTTATGATAAAATTAATTTTGAGATATGTTGTTTGTATTATCGAATTTTTTCATTATATATATATATATTCTTTTGTAAATTTAACGATGAAAAGAAAAACAAAATTTAAGACTGATCATTTATTCATTACAATGCCCAACCCAAATTTACGTTCCCCGATACTTTGGGATGGCAAGATGCCGAGTTCGAGACGGGTATTGGTCCTCCCATCCTAGTTTCCATTTAAAAGCCCGTACCTGTTCCTACTAAAAAAATCGCGGGGATTTAAACGGGATCTCCATCGAATAATCGGAGGAAACTGTGGGGAAACAAGTATCCTCGTTTAGCATAAATGGTTATTTAAACAAGTATCAGGTCGGATATATATATTTAAATTAAATATATAAATATTATATATATATTTTTAATTTAAATTAAATTTATTAATATTATATATATAATAATTATTTTTAATATTTATCAGGGCGGGTAATCGAGGCGGGGATTACCAAACCCGTCCTCGTCTCCGTTTAGCATAAACGATTTTTCTCTGTCTCCGTCCCCGTTTATAATCCCAAACCGACCCATTTAATTCGATTTTCAATTTTTCCCGTCGGATTCGAGTTTTTTTTTTTCATCCCTGATACTTGGCAGTTGGCACATAAGATAGAGATTTAATAATAGGTAAAATACACTACATCCCAAAACTACAATCAAATAATATATTTTTGCTACTAAACTTTTAAAAGTCGTAAAATAATCATTAAATTTCTCCATTTTTTAGTAAATGATCATACAAAATTATAAAAGTTATCATTAAATTTATCAAATTGTTATAAAATGATAACTATATTTTATCACACTATTAAAAAATAATTATTATATTTACACTACTTTCAGAAAATGATCATTAAATTTATCAAAACTTCACAAAAAGAATATTAAATTTATCAAATTTTATGATCATAAAAATGTTACAGTGATCAATTTAGTGATCAATTTTTTATTTTTAAAGGTTCAATGACCAAAAAGATCGATTGAGCATAATTTAATAATCTCTTGTGTACTTTACCCTTTAATGATTAAGGGTCATGGCCTAGTTAACGGGACAATTTCACTTTTAGTCCCTTAAAAAATAATAATTAAATTTTATCATTGTTAATCACTTAAGTCAAATAAAATATTATTTTTAACCCCCTCCTAAGGGTTAACAATTCAATCGAAGACACTCTAGTATTCAAAATTTCAGTCTTGAAATTCGGAATTTATAATATATCACGGCTCTCAAAGTCTAGAAATTATTTGATGGATCTGATTCATCACGTCATCTATGGTTCTAATCAATAAGATTCATCCATTTAAAAGTAACTTTCAAATAATCACCCACTCCTTATTTACACGTAAGAAAGAGGTGAAGATTCATCTTGAAAAAATGAGAAAAAAAGATTTTTATTGGTTGAGGCACATATGACGTGGTGAATCGGGTCTATCTAATAATTTTTCCTCGAAGTCTTTGCATTTTATATTTATACAAAGTTTTAAGCACAGACAAAAGTAAGGTTTCATGACGGGAGTTCAAACTTAGGAATTTATATCGTAAATTTAGGGGTACAAAGTTATAAAATTCTAGAGGTATGAAATTCGATTGTCAAATAGGAATACAAAAAAATACCTAAATTGTGTAAGAATTTAAAATTTGCAAGGGTGCGACTGCATCCCCAACACCCCTCGATCCATCATTGATTTAAAAAAAAAATCTATATTATATGTTATACCTCCGGATCTCTAAAAACTACAAGCTCTCAATAAGTTGAGAGACTTAAGCATATCACTTTGATTATCAAAGCCTCCAAAGAACTTGGCTCCTTTGAACATATACCTTCGAGCTAGCTATAATATATAGACAATACCTTTATCAGACTTATGTGATTTGTTAGAACAGAATCTGAAATCTGACAATTATATCTATCTAAGTTGTTGACCTATAAATAGTTATTATGATTTCACAATTAACATACACTAACGACGATTGTTATAACACTACAACAAATTTTCTTATTTGTGGCATCTAGGTTATTGTCACTAAAACTTCAATTTACGTCACTAGATATATTTTGTGACGTAAAAGTCAATGTCACGACGATCGTCACCCTAGGTATGTCACTAAATGTCAAAAGTGACGATGTATGTTATCGTCATGTATTATTAAATATATAGTGACACTAATGGATAACGTCACAGTTTAATTTGCATTCAGTGACAATTACTTTTGTCACCAAATGATGTATATTTTCATCATTAATAAATCATATCGTCACCAATAACACAATAATTTCATTGTATACATGACGAAAAGAAAATTTTCACATTGTTAGTAACGTAGTATATCGTCACCAAATAGTAGCATGGATGCCATTTATATATAACGTCACTATATAATTAATATTCAATGACAACTAATTATGTCACTAAATTATGTAAAATTTCGTTATTGATGATTTATATCGTCACGGATAATACATTAAAATCAACTTATATGTGACGAAAGAGATATTGTCACATTTTTAGCGACATAATATAAATGTTACCTAATAATATTATGAATGACGTTTATGCATAACGTCATTTTATAATTTATATTCTATGACAGTTGGTTACGTCACTAAATTAAATAAGATTTCGTTATTGATAATTTATATTGTCACAATTAATGCATTAAAATCAACTTATATGTGACGAAATAGATATTGTAGCAAAACACAAATAATTTATATTCTATGACATTTTAATGATAATATTTATTAAAATAAAATTATTTATACAAATCTAAATAAAAAATAAAATAGTTCACTTATTACAAAATAATAAGATTTAAACAAATATTTCACTAAATACATAATAATTTTATTTCTATAAATATAAAAATGTTTAAATGTTTACAGAAAATAAAAATAATATGACTTGTGGAATATTTCGTTGTAGCAATCTCAATCCAAACCTTGAGTCGGTTGTGATTCTGTTGATGTTGAATTCGTGGTATCATTTGAAGCTACAAATTAAAATAATCAACATTAGTTACTACTATTAATATTATATAATAATTTTATTTGATTAACTATATTGTTTACCTGAAAATTGAAGTGATGGCACTTGAATTCCAACAGCTAACAAAGCAGATCTCATAGCTTCCATTTGAGTTTGAATCAATTCAAAATTGAAGTGATGACACTTTTTGAGTTTCATTTTCTTGTGTTTGAATCATTTTACGAGATACTTTGTCTCGTTCCATCCTAAAACATATAAAAAACTATTATAAATACTTTCACCAGCTTTTGCAATCAATTGCTCTTAGATATTAGAGGGAACCGCAAAGGCGCATTAAACCACAACCAAAATCATCAATTATTATAGCACAACTGCTCTCCACTGGCAGAGCATTCTACAACTTAATCATAAACACAACAGTTCGATTACACTGAGAGAATGATTCATTTACAATCTAACTACATTGATAATTATGCTAAATTGCAGAATTTTGCAAATTTACACTGAAATGATGCTAATAACAATATTTTCAATTAGTTTAAACGGAAATGTAAATAAATTAACATAAACAAAAAGAAGGATATAAATTCAGAATTCACAAACACATGCACCTAAAGGAAGCATAAAAACATTGCAGAGTTTGAGAATACCTTGTGAAGGTGAAATTTTACATCAGCAACGTTTATTTATTAAATCGAAGTTTAAGTCTGCAGCAGTTATGGCTAGCCTATGGGAAAACAGTGGGAAAGATTTAAAAATTCTTTTGGTAAAATAAGTAATGTTTTTCCTTTTGAAGTTACAAGTAATAACTACAACAGGAATCAATCATGACAATGTACAGTTAGATTGATGATAGGAACATATATACATACCTAAACCAGAATGAATCTGGATAATGCCCATAGATGGTGGGACTTAAACTCTATAATGAATTTGGAATTGAACCCATAGTATTTAAGCATGGTAGGACTTGAACCTAGGATGTCAAGGTTTCCAGATATTCAACCTTCCCATTAAGCCAATGCCTCACCGGCAGATAATTTACTGCAATGCATTCATATTATTAGAACATCTAATACACCTCGGTTAATACACATTGTCTTTGGTATATTACATGGTGAAATCAAGCCGCTCTATATATAGCCTCAAATTTAGTCTATCACAATCGAGCCAAACACATTGAGATTGATTGTTACTTTAGTCGTGATAAAATCCTAAACAACTCAATCCACTAGTTATGTAAATACATGAGCACACAGCTTATTAATTCGTCCACCAAGACACTAAATGAAAATCGAGTTTATTTATGTAACAAGCCAAGTATAATTCATATTTATGCCCCCCAAC